GTGGTGTGTGGCAGCACTGGGGCCCTGGGCAACATTGCAAAGTAGGTAGAGTGGATCTTTGGAGCTCTCTCTTCCTCTCTTTCCAGACCCTCCCTCCAATCTTCTGCAGACCCTCCTTCTCTATGCCCCAGGAGCGCAGGGCTGTCTTTTCACTGCACATTGAGGCCTACCCTCTGCAGTGCCCCATGTTCCAAAATCAGCCTCCTCCCCCACTGCTGAAATGTTTATTCCTCTGATTCCACAGTCTAAGCTAGGAGGAAAGCAGACTAATAAAAATATTCAGTATTTGGGTAAAAATAACTGATATTTCATCATCTTGACTGGCATTTAAGAAAATATGCTCTTGAATTCATATTGATAGCCCATGTAGGGAGGTATTTTCGAACAGAACTTTGTGATATATGCCCAGTGCTAGAATGCAGTGAGGACCTGGGATGTCACTACTGAAATCCCACCACCAGTCTGTCTTGTCTACCTTTGCAGGATGGTGCAGCCAGTTCTCTCTATATAGAACCAATCCAAGACCAAGGATGCTAGATCTGCAGAAACCAAGGAGGAATACATTCTTTCCACCTCCTGTCACGCATCGATTAGTTGTTCCTCCACAAATAAAAAGGTGACCTCATCTTGGGGTACGGGTGATGTGCCTCAGTTTAAAGTTGGACTCCTCCTATGTCGGTCAGCCTCCATTTCTAAGCATTTTCTAAGGAGACCAGAGCTTTAAAAAGACCCAAGAGGAGGTCTGGGGAGGGGCTCACCCTGCCCTTTATTTGTGATAGAAAGTTTGGCAGCTTATGACCCTTCAACAGAGAGAGATGTTGCCCGCCTGTTGCCTTTCATCATGTTGAAAAATAGCTAAAGAGGTGTCTGGCTAGCGGGTGTAGAGCAGAATTGTTTGCTCTGGCTAATTAATACGGTGGTTCTAAGCGGAGTGCAGCAATGCAGCTGGAGATGTGCCTCTCCCGTCTTGGAGCTCCCACAGGTGGGGCCTTTCTCCTGAGTCTCCTCCTCGGGCCAGCCTTTTCCCTAGGGAGAGGCTGCAGTGTCTCCTCCAGAGAGGGGACCCAGAATAGACTGAGGGCCACAGGGCTGCCAGGAAGAGCACATGTGCCTTCATGTGGTCTTAATGTGACACCATGCTTCTTAGGAGAAGTATGTGCTATAAAAAACAATGTGCACTTGTTTGGGCAAATGTTCCGAATTATTTTGTATTTAAAAAATAGCACAAGCCTTGTTGAAGTTGGCATTCAAAAAAACAAAAAACAAACCTCAGCACTGCATCATTCCTAATTTAGTCAGATGGGAAGACTGAGGAGGGAGTTAGTGCAGGAAGATGAAATGGGACCCCATCCTCAGCCAAGTAAGTGCTGGATGTGGGCATCGTGTCACCTCTTGGAAGTCCCCACTGATCGGAAGAAGGGTCTGTAACTAAACAGTTGCAGTTTCTGGGCTGAATTTCCTGCTAGAGCTACCTCTGGGCCATGGATTACAGAAAACTGATATGATTTATCTAAAACATTTTAGTACTAAGTCTATTCCAAGTTCCATTTCCAATTCAAGATCACTTTCTGCTTCTTCCTTCTTAAATCAGGATTAGTGATTCAATTTGTTCCTAAGTTGCTAGGCAATACATTTATGAGCTTATAACGAGGCACTTAACCCTTCCCCATGAACTCTGCCAAAGCCCTTTATTTATCAGAATAAAAGGAAAGAAAGTCTTCGCTAGAGGGTTCATCTTTTGCATAGTCTAAATGGGGGCTAACAGGAAGGGAGGAGTAATTAACGCATAATTATCCACTGCACTTCAGAGTAATTGGTGGAAGGTAGTTGTGAAGTAACAGAAAAAGCTTAAGTTAGGGAGCGGGAAAGTCACGTTTTAGTGCTTCTCCATGACCGACAGGCCGTGGGAGTGCCGGGCAGCACTCAGTCCAGGGACGGAGGCCGTCAGGTGCTCCAACAGCTCGTGCAGACTAGACAACCCTCTCGAGCTCATCAGGGCAGGGTAGAGATGCAATGGTTAGGAGAGCACTGCTGAAGAGTAAAGTACAATGGAAACATAAAGTATGAGTACGGAGTGTCTTTGGGTTGTGCCTTTGTACCAGCTTAGTGGCCACTAATGCCCGAAACGGTGAGCTCTTCAAATATGCTTGCATTTCACAAGCCCTTTGCTTGGAATCAAGGTGGCCCACCAAGACAATTCCCAGTGAGGGAAGTCCCAGGTAAAAACAGGACTCTGGAGTTTATCAATCTGCCCCTTTCCTGCTGTGGTCTTGCAGTAGAACAAAGTGGCACACAAAGATGTCACTGTAAGCATGGCTAGAATCTAGTATCTGAGCACAGTTCCTTTTGTACCAAACTGGAGGAGGATCCTTCTCCTGTGGATATTCTGCGACTTCTGCCCCGGCTGGCGTTTCTGAGCCTTCTGCAGTCCACCTCCCCCAGGACAGCCTTACGTCATGTCCTCCTTCTACCCTTCTAAATACGATCTCTCTACTTTGGCTTCCCACACGGCCACTACTTGACTATCGCCGTGAGTCACCTTTGCTCTCCCTATCCACTGTCACATTGGGGGAGATTAGGTACACTTCAGATCACTGGGATGGAGACCCTGTATAGCTGGTTAAAGTTAATATCCCTAAAATTCTGAAAAAAGTCAGGCATATGTTGTCATCATAGGGAGGTTGGCTCCACCTGCTACCAGCATATGCACTTCACCTTTGCTCTAGATTTTGAAAATATGCAAGGACTTGAAAAATATGCTGATCTTCTTTAACAGAATTATCTCCTGCCTATATTCCAAAGAGCAGTCATCGGTGAGCAGAGGTCTATGGATAATTCATCTAATTATCAGCAATGGAAGCAGAAGTGTCCCCTTGAGTTGCAGGAGTGTCAGCTTCTACATCCCTTGATGTGTCGGTACACCAAGTGCCACGGAAGTGACAGAGCTCTCCCTCAGTACTCTGACGGTGGAGAGGGGGTTAGAGAGGATGCTGTTAATCCAGATGCATCTAGTCATATCACCAGCATCACGGAATGACAGCCTTAAGATGGCAGGGACTTCTCAGGGCAAATACCGCTTGTTTAGAAATTGTCAGAATCCATGTCTGCTAAGGTTATTCATCTAAGAGAATGTCAACCTCATCTATTGAAAATATATTGCTACTCAATTTTTCAGCTGCAGATGGGGTAGAGACAGTTGCTCCAGGTTTGGGAAAAAATCCAAGTGTGGATACAGCAGATAGCAATGGTATCTGCAATGAGAGTTCCATAAAGTTTTGGAACTTTTAAAACCAACTGACTATAATTTAAGGATAAAATAACTTTATGTACCAGGAACTAAAGTTGCTTCCAGAAAATAAAAAAGCAAATCGACAGGATTGTTCTGACTTGAGTCTC